CCTCTCTCTCTCTCTCTCTCTCTCTCTCTCTCTCTCTCTCTCTCTCTCCTCCTCCTCTCTCTCTCTCTCTCTCTCTCTCTCTCTCTCTCTCTCTCTCTCTCACGCACTGTCTCGCTCTCAATCTACATATCTATCTATATATTTATATATAGATATAGATATATATATCTCTTCTTCTCGCTTTCTCTCTCGCGCTCTCTCTCTTTGATGTCGCTCATGTGATAAAACTTTTGAATAAATACATATCGGAATATTATTAACAGTCACAGGTAGATTTATTTACCTGTACGGTCTACATAATTACGAGCAGGGGCAGGGGGAGATAAAATACTGTACAACCATAGCTCTATGTACATAAACGTATGGTACATAAGGGTTAGCAGATGCGTGCATTCTAGTCTCTGCGTTCGTCACGTTTCTCGGTGGAACAAGTATGGCAACTACAAATTCAGATACTCCACTCATTTATCTATCTAAATCGAATGTCTGGATTTTGAATGTACATATGTCTCGCTGCTCCGACTTTATCAATTCTATCACTTCTGAGGATTTACTCTCGTGATGTCTTGTTGCGTATTGCACATATCGCACGCAAGTTACTGCTGTGTGCGTGCGCGCCCTACTGGCTTATGATGTGCAGTAAGAGTAAAATTATATAAAAGTGCAAATAGACTGCATCAGGAACTTATATATCGTGATAGAAGCGTCCCTAACTGTAGTAGTATTAGTATTAGTATGACTGCTCTATACAGAAATAAGAGAAACATCGAATTCCCGAGACAGTGTCAGCAATATGTGCACAAGATATAGTTTCGGGCCTTACGTCCACGACAGCTAGTATAGATACAGGATGACATCTTGTGGCATGACATGATTCGGATGGGCTTGTCGTGAATTCGTCGTCACTACGGCTGATAGGGTCTATGTCCCCTAGGGTACTATGGGAGGGTACCCTGGGTACGGTTCGATATATCGGAAAGTACCTCGGGGTACTATACGATATGTCGCTGCGTACCCTGCATTGTCCCACCGTACCCTGACTTTCACACACACACAGTCTGTGAAACAGCAAAAATATTGAGATTAATTGATGAATCATCAATTAATATGAATAATTTAGAAAAATGAATAAAAGCTAGTAGTCTCGTAGTTTAATGTTATCATTGTAATACTATCATTACCATAAATAAAAATGGTTTGATATTGACATCAAATATAAAAAAATCAATATGCACGTGACGGCGGTAATACCTCACACACCAGTATAGGGGAGAAGCGTAAAATGTTGTCATCCACTAAAAATTATCATTTTTCTGCAAAACCATATGTATATGGTTCTGCATGATTTTCATGATCAGTTGGCTGAAAGTCAGGGTACGGTGGGACAATGCAGGGTACGCAGCGACATATCGTATAGTACCCCGAGGTACTTTCCGATGCATCGAACCGTACCCAGGGTACCCTCCGATAGTAGCATGGGAGACATTAGACCCTATCAGCGTCACTACGCACGACGAAAAATGGCCGCGAATGCGGTTACAGTGTTTGTAGGCACAGGTTCGGGTTAGCATGTCCCCCGATAAGGAAAGAAGTTCAGTAAAGCGCACAAATGAATTCATTATGTAATTGCTGTGTGATATATAGGCGTTCAGGACACCCAACTCATCGGCATTGTAATTTGGGTGTAGAGATGTCCCTGGCGAGATGCAGTACTGCATTTGTTACAAACATTAGTGGAGTTCTCCATCGTTATCTAACAACAACATATGCAACTTCTGTACAAATAAAATAGCCAAACTTAGATCACAGATTTAAGATCATTAAAAAGCAATATTGCATCGGGAGCGTGCAGCTGGTCTCCTTGCAAATAAGAACTTGCAACCAAGCAGTCGTGCTTTAGCCTGCCTTCGAAAACGAATTGTCAACGCATTCACAATCAGGCGCAGGATATAGGTATAGCAGGAATGGCTGACGGCGACCACTGGTGGATCTGTAGCTGCCGCTTAATGAATTGCCGTTACTAAATATCCACACATTATGACTCGATACTCATTGGTAATGATTGAATACTATATGCTGTATTATAGATGCTGATGACCGAGTTTTAATAAACCCAGCGCAGATATACGAGCTTCAGGGAGAAGCATGCATGCTGTGTGTTTGGAGGGCGAGGGTAATGGGGCGAGTATTCTTCTATAATTTTTTATCTGGATGCTTCTAAAATGTTACCCCAACAATCTCGCGAGAACTGTTACATGGGTAATATTGGTCAAGAGAATAAGGGCATATCAGTATTGCGTAGGCATCTTAGATTTTACTGTGGAAAAGTCGTACACACATGCACGTACGTACGTCCGCACGCACGCACACAGCATATGGTATTCAGTCATTGCCACTGCTGGCATGGCAACTCCTTGCCGGTAAAATAAATGTAATAAATACAATTTCTACTATCATTGAAAGTAGTGTGGAGATTTGATTAGGCGAAGCTTGATCTGACATGACCGATAAATTTAATGTAGATCGCTGAAAGATGTCCTTTTTGTCGTTGTGGATCGAGAATTACCAAGACAGCTTTCCGAATAAGTCCTCGTAACAGAATAATATAATCACGCATGAAAAATGACCAGACACTGCCGCTGCGAAAAGGCTGAACATAATATATCCCGATGGTCGTCTCTGCATTCTCTGTAGTCGTACTATGCGTAGTGCTGCGATGTGGGGTGCCCCGAACTATTGAAGCTGGCATTCGAAAACCACGCGAGTAACGTGTGACTGAAATTCTCTGTTCCTTCTGCGATGCAACGTCTTTTGGCATCATCGGGGCGATGCCGCTGTCCAGACATCACAAAACGCCCTCGCGCATGCTCTGTGGCGCCATCTGTCCGGCCGGGAGCGAATCGTGTAATCCCGTCGCGTCGTCGGGCGCGATCGATTCGCTATCGTTATCACAATGTCTCGAAGTGTCGTCACGCTTTGGCTTACAATTATGTCGCGAATCTACGTGATTGCCGACTCTACCAGGGGGCGCTGTCGGGTGCTCGTCGCCCGACAACACGTATTTGCCCGCCGACAATGGTTTTACGCAGACGCCCGGCAGCGTGTCCGTCGGCACCGTCTTCTGAGCGTCCGCACCGGAATCACACGACTGGTCGTTTCTGTTGGCCGCCGCCAGGGCGGCGCCACGATGCGCCGTCTCCGCCAGCACCGCCGGCGTGGGCGCGACCGCACACGGTGCCCCCCGGCGAGATGTGCTCTCAGTCTGGTCGGCGTCCATCCGCAATGTGTCGCCGCGCAAAACGTCGACGCCAGATGGCGACACCGTAGTGCGCGCGTCTGTCTTCCCGTCGCGCCCCGCGCTGCGGCGTGCCTGCTGCAGCGCCCTCACGAGCGACGCGTCCAGGTAGTTGGAGTAGTCGTAGACGTTGGGCACGCTGCGGTGCGGGCGCGCCGCGCTGCGGGGCACACGCAGCCGGTCCGGCAGGCTCCGCTTGCTCACGTTGTGTGGATGCTTGCGCTGCGGCGACGGCGTCACGCTCCCCCCGCCGCCGCCGCCGCCGCTCCCACCACTGCTGCCGCCAGAGCTGTTGCTGTGGCCGCATGACGTCACGTCCGCGAGTGACGCGTGGCCGTCGGCCGTCGGCTCGCTATCCACGGTGGCACCACCTGCCGAGTCGGTGTCGGTGGGGGCGCCACTTGGCGCGTCGCTGTCGGCGGGGTCTCTGTGCAGGACCGGGGTGCACTGGGAGCTGGTCGCCAGTGATAGTTCATTCTCTTCAAGGTAGATGTCGCTAGGCGAAGCTGATTCCTCGGCTGAAAGACAGCGAAGACAGATAGGTGAGATAATTATACGTATTTATTTATTATAGTTTTATTACCTCGGCCAAGGAAGTTATTTTCTCGCCCCTGTTAGTTTGTTTGTTGGATTGTTTGTTTGTCTGTCAACAGGATATCTCAAAAAGTTACGGACGGATTTTGATGAAATTTTGTGGACGGGTTCGTCTTGGGCCAAGAACCAAGATTTTGGTGGTGATCCGGATCCAGATCTGGATCCAGGATTGTTTTGTAGGGAAGACTTCGGACGCATTTAAAATTCATACATAAATTATTATTTTTTAAATCTTTTTTTCAAAATTTCTGAAAATTTCATCAATCTCTATATTGGGTGTACCAGCAAGATGGGGGGACTGTTACGCTGTGGCGGAGGTTTGCTATCTCCGATTTCACTTGTTATAGATACGATTGTTATATTATAATAGATATATATATATGATAGATATGTATTATTCGTTATTATAATGTATACATTATACATATATACGTAATACATTATGTGCGTATTATAGATTTCAAGTTTCGTCCCGCACTGCTATCACTCAATCGATGCATAAATTATGTAGAACATGAAACTAGGTGAGGGAAAGTGGCGAATTATTGACAAATGTCTTCGAGCTTCCTCCCTGAAGGGAAGGATTCAAAGACATTCAATACGTGCGCAAGAGAGGTGGGAAATAATATTATAAATAATCACATCGTATGATTTACACATCCGCCTGGATTGATTTATGCGCAGATGCAAAGAGGGACGCAACCATCGCGCACTCGTCTCCTATTTTTGCCCAGAAAAAAATGAATGAAAAAAATGTGAATATTTCGACAAATTACTGTTAGATAAGAAGAAACTTGCATCTGCGAAGTTCCGTCAGAAGAAAATGTTGGGGAGAGAGGAGGGGGGTGAAGGATGGGAGAGGAGGGGGAAGAGGGGAAGGGTGATGAGGGAGGGAATATAAGGGGGTGAATGTCATTTCTACTCGTAGTTCCAGATTCTTCCACTATAAACAGCCGCGCGTGTGATCAATTTCCGGCTGGTAAAATACTAAAAGTATAAATGACTTTTACAGTTATACGATATATATATTAGGAATTACAATACCAAATGAGACAAATGAAACGTAAAAGAATTTCTCGCGCCTATAGCCTGCCCACTAGGATTATTTTCTAACATGCATGATACAGCTCAGATGCACAGGCACTTGAAGCGTATCAACTGTAAACACACGCCGCCGCCATTGCGCGTACACTGACACATAAATATATAGTCATGTGTCATATATATATTTATGTGTCTATATATTTATATGTGTCTATATATTTATGTGTCTATATATTTATGTGTCAGTGTACGCGCAATGGCGGCGGCGTGTGTTTGCAGTTGATACGCTTCAAGTGCCTGTGCTCAGATGGATACAGGTCGAGGGAGTTAGCCTAGGAGAGAGTTATGTACCTTCTTCGGGTAGCACCTTGTGTTGTGGATACGGACTCGGAGGTCGAACACAGTACGTGAAGCCGGAGGGCAGAGACGACTGCCTCTCCACCGACCTCCTCCTCTTGTCGTCCTTCGCATCTTCGTCGTTGTTGCCCTGCGCGCCGTTGTCATGGCAACTGCCGTTCTCGCCGTTGTCGCGGTTGTTGCTGTCGCCTGCCGACGATTCCTGCGGTGTAGGTGCATGTGACGGAGTTAGCTCTGTCCCGCTGTGCATTGCTAATCACGTCTAATTGTTGAAAAAAATCAGTCACACGAAGAGAACGTGCAAAGCATGCGACACGCACACGTATGGTCTAGGACTAATTTGCGTCACGCATAAGCTTGCTCAAATTATGCGATATGCACGATATACGACTGGCTGTCATGCATTCATGATATCAGATCATCACACCAACGCTAAGTGTTTGCTCTGTACACACACACACAATCACTAAGATTAGGAATCATGAACCATTCTGTTACTATATGTCTTATATATATATAACTTTAGAAGTGATATCTGAGGTGGTATTATTTCAGTAACGGTGGTATTACTGACAATTGTTGAATGTACTATGCAGGGGCGTAAATCCGTACCGAGGAGTGGGGGGGATGATCACGCGAAGGGGGGTCTGGGGGCCTCCCGCCCGAAATTTTTTGAACATTAGACCCACTCAGATGCGTTTTTCTGGCGCGAGGCAGGGGGGTGGGGTCCGGCCCCCTGGAACGCTCCCCCCTGTACACGCCCCTGCAAGTAATTGAAATGATAGGTATGCCCAATGTCTCACAAATTATCATAATTCAGTGAACTTTTCAAGTGGGCGCACGGAGGAAGGAGTTTTTTTTTAAATCTCCAGGAGAGGGATATTGTACAGGCATCCCCCCCTCCTTCAAGAGCGGGGGGGATGCATCCCCCCATCCCCCCCGGGATTTACGCCCATGGTACTGTGTATATACCCCCTAATAGCTTCACAGACTTGTCTTATCGGGTATTAGAAAATATTGTTTTTGTTTACACAAAGTAAAGTTGCACAAAGTTGTGCGTGTATTCGTAGCTGTGCTACTATTGCAGAGATATCGAACTGAATATCCCTGTGAATATTTGATTAGGTAGCCTATGCTCTCAACATGCATATCCGCCAGCATGACCTATCGGTACTGTTCGCAGGTTTGTACACTGACGGTTGCTAGTTCAGTCGTAAAGGAATTTGCAGCTGTCATGTGTGTGTGTGTGTGTGTGTGTGTGCGTGCGTGCGTGCGTGCGTGCGTGCGTGTGTGCTCGTGTGCGTGCGTGCGTGCGTGTGTGCGTGTGTGCGTGCGTGTGTGCTCGTGTGCGTACGCGTGCGCGTGTGTGCGTGCGTGCGCGTGAGTAATGGAATAAGGCAGGCGTGGCGTGATATAGGAACGAGGGCTTGTGTTACACAAAGATAATTCTCGTATATCGATAATACAACATACGCATAGATAGATGAGAACGTTATTCTATGCCAAGAATGAGCTCCTGTGATCTTATATTCACTGTCGCTTCGCATACTGTAATTTAAGGGCCATATTGGAAGAGAGCTACCGCGATACTAGCGCTACCTGAGTAGCCCTTCGCGTTCACAACAGGTTTATAGGTTCGTTTCTGTTAGAGCACTGGGCTCTTATTGGTAGAACTACCCATGTAGCCCTTCACACAGCTTCAAGCATGTAGTAAACGAGAGGGTTACGTAGGTAGAACTGCCGTGTTCCTTGATCTACCAACATAGTCTTTTGCTTCAAGACAGGCGAACCTAGCAGCCTTCGTGGTGCGAGGCCTGTTGCGGGACAAAGGGCAACGCAGGTAGAACCAGGGTAATATTAGGTCTTGCAGTACAGCCTCCAATGGTAGAGGTACTGTGGTTCTAGGTGTATGAGTTGGTTGGTGCTGGAAATATCTCTTTTCTCGGGTTCGTGAAGCTGACAGGGTATATATATATACAGTACACGGTGAAAATCAAAACGTGATACCCTATCGGCGTGAAAACTACAGTGCGCTGTAAATGTCTATCGACGTTTCTCTATCGTGTGTTCAATGTGAAAAACGTGTTTCAGCAAACGTGACTATGTATATCTATAAATCTCGATGTCGACGAAAAAGATATCTATATAGTGTCTAGTTACGTTGTGATCTCGTCTAGATGGCGCCACCTTCCGCCGCGCGTGTACATAGTGAGTGGTTCTCGGCAGGTGCGAGTCTGACACTGACATGCATGAGGATTGGCGACACGCAACCCAGCCAGCCTCGGCGAGACAGCTGGTGGAATGACACATGTAGCGTGCGGACTCCAATCGTACGGCACACGACGCCTGGCCGCCGCCGCCGCTGCTGCCGCCCGTCGTCATGGCTACTGCGTCGTCAACACGCGACGGCGTCGGCGCTAAGTTAACGGGGTCTCTATTGATATCACAAGCGGAACAGAAGCAGTCGGTAACAGGCACGGTGACCCCGGTCGAGGACGACACGTCGTCGACGTCGTCGCTGTCGCCGACGCGCAAGTTTTCGTCACTCGGGGGCGCCGCGAGCGCGTCCTGCGTCGGTGCAACATGCGGAGTGGTGGTAGCCACCCATGCGGCGCAGGATCGGCTGATTTCGCTGCTGCGGTCATTGCACGCATCATGCACCACAACGTCACGACACTGAAGAAGACACAGCGAGGGGGGAAGAAATAACAGAGAGTTACGTCACGCAGCACACGACGACATAGCACAGCACGCATGCGTGATCAAGCCACCCCACGATCCCCGCCCCCCTCGCCCCGCCCCCCTTCCCGCCTCCCGTCAGATACTAGCCACGCCCACACCGATGCGAATCATGCTAGGCATGGGTACCGTTGTCAAAAACCGTCATATCGTCGTGAATAGTTACGACTAACACGCAAGTCTAAAACGTCAATGCAGAAGCTTCGCTCCAAAAGTGACGACATTATGATATTTTAGACTGGTGACGTCATAACCACGTACGATGTTCCGGACAACGGGACCATATGCCCATACCCGCCCGCCCCACTCCCGCGCCACCCGCTGCTGACCACGCCCACCAATCTCCACCCTGTCCTGTCCGATGCTATGAACGTACCCCAGTAATGAATGCCTCAACCCTCTTAATACTCATCTCGCTAACCTTCTGCCCACTTCGCTAACACTTCTGCCCACCACACAAATAACACACACACACGTGACCTGCCCACACCGCAGCCCGCTGCCCCACGCACACAAACTCGTTCAACACAACCTAGCTCTATCAACTAGCCCTTCACTTTGCCACAGGGTTTTTTTCTCGTGTGGGGAATCGAAGGGCTATAATGGTAGAGCTACGTTCACCCAACCCTACATGCATCCATATAACACAACATGCACGCCTACAGTTCCCTGACAAATTAACCTCCTCCTCTAGTTACACGCATGTAATCTCTCTCCACAGAAGCAGAGGACTGCTGTATAAGTATAGAGCTACCTCTCCCCCGGCCGACCCCACAGAGATGTGCCAAGTTGTTTGATAGGCGAGAAGCTGGCGTCACCTCACACATAGCTACCTCACAGTTGACATGCCTCGACGCACTGCGACGCCTAACAACAAACCAACGCATACGAGCTAACGACCCAAACGAAACACGGGTGACGATTTCGTGGGTCGCACCTAGCTCTAGCTTATATTTCTCTGTCTATGTGGGTCTTCGTTTCACAACGGGTGCGCCCGCCTGTTGTTGAACGAAGTGCTACACAGGTAGAGCGATATTAACCTGAGCTAGCAGGCATACTGGCGTGAGCTCGGCCATTTTCTCCCGGTAGGTGTCGCCCATGAGCCCAATCGCCGCATCTAGACGCGATTACCTGTCCTTGCCTTCCTACCTTCTCTCCCTCTCCCCCTCCCCCTTCCCTTCCCGCCCTCCCCCTCTCTCCTTCCCTCTTCCCGCCACACGAACACGCAGCTAGGGTAGGGTTAGGGTGCATGCAAGCGCGCTCGTGGCGCCTCCTACCTGCTCGCGGCTCGCCTCACGGCGGAGCTCCTCACGGCGTAGATCTTCGAGCTCGGCTTTGATCTCAGCCTCCAGCTCGGCGTCGTCGTCCATGTGCTTGTGCGACTCCTCGAGATGCTTCATGAGCACGGCGACGACGACGTTCACCTGCCGCGAACACGTAACGTGGTGTAACGGTGTGTAACGTGACCTCATGTCGCGTAACGTGGTGTAACGGTGTGTAACGTGACCTCATGTCGCGTAACGTAGTGTAACGGTGTGTAACGTGACGTCATGTCACGTAATGTAGTGTACCTGTGTGTAACGTGATCTCACGTTACGTAACGT